CTGCTCGGCGGCTGAGCGCGCGGATCTGATTGCGGGCAGGGCCTGAGGCTGTCTGGGGGCGGTGCCTGGGCCGGTCCCAGAGGCGGGGCGATGTGGGCGCGGTGGGCGCGTCTCCAGAGGTTGGGTCAATGGTTGGATTTGGACTTCCGCCCTCCCACTTGGCTGTGTGCCACTCCATTTAAAGATGTGGGAGTGTAACGGCATAACAGGGCTAGGAGAACGGCGAGGAGGCGGGAGAGCCCATCCCTAACGCCACCCCCAGCACTATTTGTGTGTATTCCCTTTTGGCCTTTTCTAATTGCACATCTTGTACAGTAGTCGTGACTTTTGCGTCCTTGATTTTTCTCTTTCAAAAAATTAATAAAACCAGGACTAAGACAGGGGAAGGAGGGGTTCGGTATCCCTATGGGAACCGTAAATTACCCAAGAGACTGAGAGAGCCCCTCGTGGTTGGGAGGGTTGTCAGCACCCTGAGCCCAAGTGTCTTAGATGCCCAACCAATATGAGGGACTACATGACCGATAGAAGTGACGTACTTTTGAGGCCAAGTTTCCTGTGCCTCTGGATGCTAGCTGTGAAAAAATCTGTCTTCTGCTCCCACTTTGGAGGTTTAGGTAACAGGAGGCATGTCTTGAGGCCTGTGCACTGTCTTCATCCCATCCGCATAACTATGAGGGATTAGTATGTGTCCCTTGTGACCCAGCTGCTAAGTGCTTCAGATATTTTACACTGGTTCGTTTCTCACAGGAGGTCCCCTGAGAGGCCTGACCTGTGAGGTCAAAGGGAAACATGCTTTGTCTGTTTTTCGCTTTTGTTTTTTACCAACATGGGAAGCTTTACACGCAAGTTCTGCCACATTTTGAAGCAACAAGTAGTCAGTATCTTATGCAGATTGTTCCAGAAAATGGAAGAAGAGGGAAAGCCAGCAATATATTTATGAGGCTAGTTTAACCTTGATTCCTGAACCAAAGGCAAAAAAAGCATATACCCGTTTTACTAATATAGATATGAAAAATCCTAGATGAACGATTAAGCTAATTGAATCCACTAGTGTAAATAAAAATGCATCAATATGCTAAATGAATGTCATTCACAGAAAGACAAATACTATATGATTCCATTTACATAAGGTACCTAGAGTAGTCAAATTCATAAAGACAAATTTGAATGATGGATGACTGAGGGAGGAAAAAATGAAGAGTTGTTTAATGAATAGGCATAGAGTTTTGGTTTTGCAAGATAAAGAAATCCCGGAGATTGGTTGTGCAACAATGTGATTATACTTAACACTACTAAACTGTGCACTTAAAAATGCTTAACACAGTAAATTTTATGTTGTATGTATTTTACCAGAATTAAAAATTAAAACTTTTTTTCAAAAAAAATATCAAGATCAAGTAGGGCTCATTCCAAGAATGTAAAAATGGTTTAACATTATTACTGTAATTCATCATGTCAGCAAATGAAAGGAGAAACCTCATATGGTTATCTCAAAATATGCAGAAAAAGCTTTTGATGAAGTTCTATGACTATAATAAAAACTCATAGTTAGGAAAAAAGAGGAACTTTCTTAGGTTGATAAAAGCCATATGTGATTAAGTATGATGGAATAAATATTCATATTCCCTTCAAGATCAGGGACAAGACAAAGAATGCTCTCTTTCAAGATGCTGTTTAGTATAGTATTAGAAGTCCTAACCAAAGCAATAAACCAAGAAAAAGAAATGAGAGTGATTATATCTACAGAATCCAAAAGAATCTACAGTTTTAATGAGAGAGTTTAGTGATGTTACAGAGATATAAAATAATCTACCAAAAATTAATAATACTCTTCACATCATCAATAACCCATTCAAAAATATAATAGAAAATAAGGTACCATTCACAACAGCAATAAAGGAGGGAAAAGCAATTAAACTCAGAAAATATTTAGGAAAATGAAACACAGCCCAGAACTTTTTGGAGAGAAAAAAATTTAAGGACATAAAAGAGGACATGAATAACTGAAGAGACACACCTTGTTAATGAATCAAACAGCTTAACTTTTAAACCTGTGATTTACCCTGAAATTAATCTAGAAATTCAGTGAAATCCCAATGAAAATTGGGAAGATATTTGAAGAACCTGGAAACTTTCTTGTAATATTTCTGTAGAAAAATGAAGGTCCGTGAAAAGCCAGGTCCAGTTTGAAAAAGATGACCAAAGAGGGGACTTGCCCTTCCATATTAAACCACCCTGCAAACCATAGTAATAAAAAGTGATATGATACTGCCTGTGAATTAGTTAAGTAGATCAAAGGAAACCAAAAGAGAGCTCAAGATAGATAGCTATGTTAAGATCTATATACTAGACAGGTGATAAAAGTGGCACCACAGTTCAGAGGGAGAAAGAACTGATTGGTGGATGGTACTGGGGAAACTGCTCACTTTACACTGAAATAAATCTGGATCCCTCCTTCCACCACATTCAAAGGTAGAATCCATAGGATTAAGAATCTTAATATGAGTGTAATACCTCACACTGTTCAAGTGCTTATAAGTGCCAGACACTAGCGTTATCTTCCTTACTATGTATTAACTATCATTTAATCCTAAATTAATGCTATAAGGGAAACACTATTATTACCTTCCTGTGACAAATGAGGAAACTGAGGCACAGAGAAGTTACATAACTTGCTCAAGGCCATGCTGGGACTAGGGTGAGGTGAGTTGGGTGAGTCATGCAATGTTGAATCCTGCCTTCAAAACTGTTATATTTTGTTCATCATAGATTTTTGCTTCAAATTTGATAATGTGTTCAAATATTACTAATATTGCTTGCTGAATTTTTTGGTATCCCCTTAAACTTTTCACCCAGGGCAAGTGGCTCACTGCTTTCACCTTAGTCCTGGCCCACCAAGATTCCAAAACTAGTAAAAAGATGGAAATCCCAGTGCAGGCAGTATGGCTCCAGAGTCAGTGAACTATCTTTTTGCAATACTTTTTTAGATAGTAAATCTATCAGGCTAGTAGAATAAGATGTTGGAGAATATTTGTGTAACCTTAGGGTGAGGAAACACTTCAAGTAAGTCTCGGAAAACACAAACATGATGGGTTTGACTATATAAAAATGAGAATTGTTCTTTACCTAAGGGCATCTTAGGCAATGCAAGGAGATAAGGAGATATGTGCAACATCAAAACCCAGCAAGTGACAATGTTTAGTTAGATATGTACAGACATGGAACTCAGCAGAGAAAAGGCTAGAACTCAATTTTTTAAAATGGACAAGGGATATGAACAGAATTCACAGAAAAAGAAACCACTGCAACAGACAAGTGCATAAAGAGTTTTTCAAATTCTCTATTTGTCAGGGAACCCAGGTGAAAAGGAGGCCCACTTTAGATTGATCCAACTGGCAAGCCATTAGAAAGCTGGCCTAGCAAGTGCTAGGAGAAAACCAGAATGCTTATGGTGGGTGTGCACATTCATACAGCTACTCAGGAGAGCATCTGTGGTACTTTGTCAAGTCAATGGTGCATGTACCCTATGGCCTTGAAGTCCTATTTCAAGAAGAATTCTTCTGCAGTCCATAAGAGCACAGTGTGAAGATGTTCGCAGTAGTGATGTATGTAGTGGGGGCACTGAGGCCAGGCTAAGTATGCGTCACAGAGGGGTTGGGGTGGATAATAAAAGTGCTGGTGCTCATCACGGTATACCACATGCAGCTACTGGAAGCAACAAATGAGATGTATGGGGAAAACATTGGTATTGAGTGTAAAAATGTAAACAGATGAGTTTTATACATGACACCGTGTTGGTATATTGCAACCACATCCATAAAGAAGCCGATGCCATGTGTAGCAGAGGGTCAGGCAGGATTCAAAGAAGCCAACTGAGCACATTTATGTGGGTCCTATGGAAGGGAGATGGGGAGTGAACATAAAATGAATTAACAAGAGGGGCCCTGTTCATAGTGATGATATGTTACAATCTAATAAGTAGGATTGACTCAGGTCTGTACATGAGGTCATAAAATGAAGTGGGGTGGGTGGATGGAGGAGGAGGAGCATCTAGCCCTGGAGCTAAGTGGACCTGCGTTCAAATCCCAGTTCAACCAATTGGAGGCATTTGGGATTTTGCTCAACACTGTTCTGGGCACTGTAAACACTGAATAAAACATATGAAGATAATTTTGGGTAAGTGCTGTGTGATGTGAAACTGATTTTACATAGTAAGGGATGGCTTCTCGGAGAGGTGACATTTGAGTGGGATGCAGATTGATGAAAAGATCCAGCTGTGAAAGAGCTGGTTAAGTGCTTTCCAGGTTTAGGAAAGAGCACATACAGAGACCCTGGGGCGGGAATGGGCTTGGCCTGTGTGGCTGAGTCAGGTGAAAGAGGGGCAAGGGAGACTTGATGAGAATGGGAAAGGCAGGCAAGGGACCAGAGCATTCAGAGTTTTGTGGGCCTTAGTTAAGAGTTCAGATATTATAACCACAATGGAAAACCAAGAGACGGGTTTATGCAGAGCAGTGACTTAGCAGCATACGTCACAAAATAAAAAACAGAAGTTTCATTTAAATATAACACACAGAAGAGGATCAAACGCTTTAAAAGATCGGTTTGCTGCGTGCAGACTGGATTGGAGAACAGTGGAAGTCACATAAGTTCTCTGAGCCTCAGTTTCCATACGTGCAAGGTGACGAGAATACCCCTCCCGCGCAGCACAAAGGTAAGAGTGGGGTCACAGTCAGCTCCCGGGGTCTCCTTTCACTGGAGCAGCTGGCTGCACGGTAGGAACCTCAGGCTGCGTCGGAGCTCCAAACAGCTGTCGTAGCCGGGGTGGCCGCTGGACGGCGCGGCGGCCGGGGGAGGTCCGAGAGGAGGCTCCGCCCACTAGTCCGCTCGGCGCTCGGCAGCTCTGGCCTGCGGGCGGAGGGGGCGGGGCCTCGGCGGGCCGCCGGGTCTTCTTGCTCCCGAGACGCCGCACAGGGCGTGGCCTGGCGTGCGGGGGCGGGGCCGCAGCGACACGGGGTTGGCAGCCGCGGATGGCCACGGCGCTGGGCTCCTGAGCCGGCGGGGGCCATGAGCACTGCCCGGCCCCAGTTCAGTATCGATGACGCCTTCGAGCTGTCCTTGGAGGACGCAGGCCCTGGGCCCGAGTCCAGTGGGGTCGCCCGCTTCGGGCCGCTGCACTTCGAGCGCCGGGCCCGATTCGAGGTGGCCGACGAGGACAAGCAGTCCCGGCTGCGCTACCAGGTGAACGGCCCGTCCCATCTCACCCACAGCCCGTGTCCGGGCGGGACCCCAGGCCAGACCCTGGAGAACATTTCAGGGGAGAACCTGCCTCGAGGCCCCACCCAGAGCGCGGAGACCGCCCCCGGACGTGGCCCTGATCCAAAGCCCTACCCAAACCCTCGCATCTCTGATGTCGGTCCCCAGCCATCACTGGGGAGCCCAGAGTCCGAACTCGGCAGCTCGTCCCCCACCCCCCCACCTGTAGCTGGAGATCCTACCCGGAGTCCCCACCCATCCTGGGTACTGACCCTTCGCCCTTTACCCCGCTGGGCTGAGGAGCTCTTCTGTACCTGAACCAGACCTTGCCCACTCAGGAGCAGCCCCCTGAGCCCCAGGACAGACGGTCTAACGAGAACCTGCACCCACTCCTCTGTTCTGGAAGTCCCCGCCCCTCCTCACCCCAGAGCCAGAGGTCCCCACTCGCATGATTAGTCCGTGCTCTTGCCTTGACCCCCTCTAAACTGGAAATCTCCATTATCCCAGAGGATCTCCACTAACTCTAGGTTCCTCTTCTTGGAGACCTGGACCAGATTCCTGGGCCCCAAACCTGAATGCCATGGGCATGTCCCTCCCTGGCACCCCAAATCCAGAGCCACCATACTGGGCCCCTGAAATACCAAAGAGTACTCCACTCTGAACTGCCAAACTGGGGAGATCTTCTGGCCCTCGGACCCATGCTGTCTCCTGCCCCGCAAAGCCCCCAGCACTAACCTCCTACCTGGGTTTCTGTATCTGTGAATCATCAAACCCGTTTTGCTGGGAGGGTGGAGAGCCAGGTGAGCAGCTGTTAGGCGCTTAGACAAACAGCTGTGTGGGCCTGCTTTCCTCCTCCCCGAGAGGGGAGTGAGGCAGGTCTGGAGCCCCGTAACCCCACTAAGCCCTGTGTTCTGGAATAGAACCTGGAGAATGATGAGGATGGAGCCCAGGCCTCTCCAGAGCCGGACGGGGGAGTCAGCACCAGGTCAGGACAAGGTGGGGACCCACCCCATACCCCCATCCCCATGCATCTGGCTCCTGTCCCCAGGTCCCTGCCCACTCCACCGCACCTCAGCTCTTTCAGGGGATTCCTAGTTTGATCCCCACCCCGACATGGGGTCTTACTTTACCCAAGTGCCAGTCTCACCTACCCACCTCCACCAGGCCCTTTATCCTGCAGAAACCACCAGCCTGGCCTGGCCCCTACCTTCCCACAGGTCCCCTGTCCTGCAGGAGTCCCTAGCTCCAATCCCCAGCCTTCCTCTACCCCCAGTCCTGCAGAAACCCCCAGCTCTTGTGTTCCTCTTCACCCTGTCCCTTCTCAGTGTCTCTGGTCCTGCAGGAACACCCAGCCCTAGTCCCTGCCCCGTCCCCTGCCACAGCAATATGACTCCCATCTGCAAGGGATCCCCTTCCTTACCTTCCCCCTGCCCCTCACTGGGCACTGCACCCGCACTGTAGGGATTCTGGCCGAACATCCATCCGCAGCTCCCAGTGGTCCTTTAGTACCATCAGCAACAGCACCCAGCGCTCCTACAATGCCTGCTGCAGGTGAGACCCTGCCCTGCTTGAGTCCCCCGGGCCCGGGCCCCGGTACAGGCAGCCCTGGCCATTCCCCCTCAGCTCTCTTGGCCGGGAAGAGTGACAGAGTAGGTGAGCCTCCTGTTGTCTCTTCCACGCCCACCCTCATCTCGTACCGCCCAGCTGGACTCAACACCCTTTGATCCAGAAGAACTGCCGGGTAGTGCTGGCCTCCTTCCTGCTCCTGCTGCTGGGGCTGGGTGAGTGACCCCTGGGGCCCCTGCTGACCCCCGAGAGGGCTCTGCAGCTCCCCTTGGCACACTGGGCCTTCCGGCACCCTGAGGAGGCAGCTGGCTGCCATCACCCACACCCACCCCACAGGTGAGGAAACTGATGCCTTGAGACAGGAAGGCCCAGCCTCCTGGTCACACAGCCAGAAAAACACATATAGTTGAAAATGGAACCTGGTTCAGTGCTCCAAGCTTTTCCTGTTTTAAAGACAACCTGTTTGATTCATCAGGGAACAGAAGATTAACAGCTACCATTATTATGTGTCTACTTTGAGCCAGGTGCAGGGTAGGCTTATTCCTCCCACCCCCACCCCCTGGCCCTTTACAGCAAGTAAGAGGTAGGGCTGTCACCAGCACTTATATGGACAAGGATCCACAGGGCACCTGTCACTGTCCCTTCTCTGGAGAGCTGATGAGGACCTCTCTTTGACCCCCATTGCTCAGGTGAGGAAACTGAGGCCCAGAGAAGGCAGATCTTGCAGGCAAATGTCAGGAAGACTCCTACACTCCTCATTCTAGGGGCTGAGGGTCAGGGTTCCAGAAAGGATCTAGGTTTGCAATCAAAATGGCCCCATAATTTGGGCCCAGCTATGGCACTGCCCTCCCTTCTCCAGGAATGCCAGAAAGCTGAGTGGCAGCCTTGCCTCATCTCTGGGCACCTGTGTGCGGGCGGTGGGGAGCTGTACTTCTCCAATACCTGTTATATGCTGGGCCTGGGTTGCACTGACCACCTGCCTTATTTTATCCTCTTTCTCAACACCCAACAGGGAAGTGCTTATTACCATTCCAGTTCAGAAATAAGGACAGGTTCAGGCAGGTGAAGGGACTTACTCAGGTCACAGCTGGGAAGTAGATGAGCTGGGATTTAAACCCATGTACGCGACATAGCTAGGCCTAGGGGCCACCATAGGCCCATATAAAGGGCCTTGGTAGGAACCGGAAAAAGATGCCTCCTGCGTGGGTGGAGCCCACAGCCCTGAGCCAGGGTGCAGGGAGTTAGCTTCAGCCCCCATCATGCCCTTTTTGAGGTGCTCTGGGCAAGGCACAAAGCCCATAACTTATGTCCATGGCCCCCCTACTGCAGAGTCCAGTTCCTCACCTCCGCCCATCCCATCCTCTGGGGACCCTGGACTCTCTCTGGGTCTGAAAAGTTGGTCCAGTTATGACTTCCCCTTTTTCCCCAATGTCCACTGTCCTCAGCCAAAGTCCACATCCCTCCTTGGGGCCTACAGGCCCTGCCAAAGTCCTCAAGCCTGGAGTCTTGCCTCCCGAGTCTTGGCAAGAGCTAGAAACTCTAGAAAGCCCCAAGTTACCTCCAGACTCTGGGCCCTTATTAGGCTGTTCCCTCTGGAAAGATCTCCCTCCCTGCAAAGCCTCTGGAGTCAGATATCTTCCAACTTCCTGATGCAGTCCTGGGCAGGTTACTTCCCCTCTCTGTGCCTCAGTGTCACCTCCTGTGAAACGGGGATGATAATCCCTGTCTCATTTGGTCAAGGTGACAATTAAATAAGGCAGTGCATGTAACACTTAGCCCTGTGCCTGGCAGCACCTAGTAGTTACGTGGTCTCTAAAGGTTAACTGCTATTGCTGCTACTCCTGATCAGCTTAGATGCTGCTGCCTCCCAGAAGCCCTCCCTGATGCCCGAGGCTCCCTGGCTACCTGATCTTCCCCTGTCGTATCCTGATCACCCTAGTTGTAGCTTGGAGGTTCTTGGTTACGTCACTAGGGAAGGGCCATGAGGACAGGGACCATCTGCATTTCCCTGGGATTCCCAGTACCAGGCACACTGCAGGTGCTCCATGAATGTTTGTTGATTGATCTAAGACCACACGAAGGAGCCGACAAAAAGAAAATCTCTCCTTTCATAGACATATCTCAGCCCGGCAGGTGCCCTGCTCTGAAAACACAGAGCTTGGTGAGCTTCCCAGGGAGGATGTCTGTCCAGGGGGCCGCACGCTTAGGTGGGGGGCACCATTCCTCAGGACCAAACCATGTTGAGGGTTGCGGGTGGAGGTCCCTGCCCTGCCGCTGTCCCCAGCTCCCACCCTCACCCTCGCGGCTCCATCTGTGTGCAGCGCTGATCCTGATCGGCGTGGGACTGGAGGTGGCGCCCTCACCAGGTGAGCGCTCCCTCCTGCCTCCGCAGGCCGAGGGGTCCTTGGCAAGCCCTCCCACCTCCCAGCAGGAAAGGGACCCCGCAGTCCCGCAGGTGCAGCCCTACCCTGACCTCCCCGCCTCTCCTCCCGCAGGTGTCTCCAGCGCCATCTTTTTCGTACCCGGCTTCCTGCTGTTGGTCCCGGGAGGTGCGAGGGGGCCGGGCGGCGGGCAGGGGTAGGGGGCTCTGGGCGGGGCCTCGGCGCTGACAGGCCCCGCCCCGCAGTCTACCACGTGATCTTCATCTACTGCGCGGTCAAGGGCCACCGGGGCTTCCAGTTCTTCTACCTGCCCTACTTCGAGAAGTGAGCCGCGGTGAGCTCCGTGATCCGGCGTGTGCCCCGAGCAGCTGTGCGGCCCCCTGGCATCCCCAGAGGGCACTCCTCGAGCCCGCGGCCCACTCCGTTCCCTCATCTCTAGGGAAGAACCTCTCTAGGACTCTCGATCCCCCAATACCCCTCGGGAGTTTGCTCAGGAAGTTTGGGGTGCCCAGACCGCAGCCTGCTTATCTGGGCCTGGGCAAGTCGCCCCTCACTGGCTCTGTGCCTTAACTTATTCTCAGGCCCTGGGGCTGCTGGGGTGGTGGTTTGTGCTAATAAAAGGGTACTTAATTCTAGCGGAGACAATTGCTCGCTCTTTCCCACCAGCCCAGCACCCTGGCCACAGCACCTTCCTGCAAAGGCTGAGGAAAGGATTGACCCTGGAAGAGAAGGGCTCCAGACCAGCCATGTCCCCATTATACACATAACGGGCCTGCTGCTGAAAGACTTGCCTGATGTCACCCAGTGTGTCAGGAGCAGAGCTGGGCCTGGGACTCTTCTGCCCTGCAAGACTGAAGAAGGCTTATCTAGCCCCCGTGGTCCCCCAGCCATTAGCAGAGTGGGCCCTGCCCATGCCTTTACCTGGGGGGCCAGTGTGGGTGCCTGCCCTGGTGGCCGTGGCCGAGGGCACGCAGATGACGCAGGCCTGGGGCCTAGAGACTGGTATCCTGATTCCAGCCTGGCTCTGGGGCCCTGGGCTGCTGCAACCAGCTCCTAATGTGGGCTGTTACAAGGCAGCAGCCCAGCCCCCTCCCCATGCTGCCCTACTTCGCAGCCCAGGGGTTGGGAGAAATAGAAGGCAGAGGATATGGCAAACAGGACCCAATGGCAGAGAACCTCAGTGTCTGAGATTCTTAGAACCGCAGAATATTGGAAACAGAACATCTCAGAATTTCAAAAAATCAGCATCTCAGAATCCTAAGAACCAAGAAAATAATCTTCTAGAACCTTGAAGCTATCATGTATCAAACACCAAGAAGTTACCAAGTCCTATGCTAAGCACTTCAACACAGGTTATTTCTGGTGATCTTAACCACCTTACACATGTGGAAACAGAGGCCTAGAGAGAGGCAGAGTCGGGACCATAACCCAGGACTTCCATGGGAGCGGCTGGGAGGCACTGAGCTGGAGTGGTCCCCAGCCCACCAATAGCCAAACAAGTGTGGGCTGAGGAGACCCAGATGCTTACATATCTACAGTGTCTCCCCCAGTAAAAGGTGAGTGCCGTTAAGAAGGAGCATTGCTAGGTCTGGCCTCTACTGTGTCTGCAGCAGCCAAGGCAGCACCTCCAGATTCTATACCTTTGTTGAAAGAATGAACCCCCAGATCTACACAGACGTCCCACCATCGGCCCCCCAGGCAAGGCACTTTTGGGGGGCACCCAGCAGGATGCAGGTACTCCTAAACTAGTGGCTCTCCAACTAGTTGTGGTAAAGGATCATTTTTCATTTCTAATCTATCAGACCAATACTTCTGTTAGATAAAATAAAAATTAGAAAAGTGAACTATAAAAGCCCACAGTTTGTATTACCATATTATTCAGACATAAAATTAAATTTTAATAAATATAATCAGAATGAACATAGGAAAACAGGTTATGAAAACCATTCATTGAAAGTGAGCAAATAGGCAATGAACAGAGAGTTGCTACCGCCCTCATAACTTCTTGCCATTCCACAATCATAATACCAAAAGTTATCCTGGCAGTGATGAGGCTTGATGTTGTAAGACTGTCTCAGGAGTCAGCAGGCTACAGCCATTGGGCCTGCTATGACCCCCAAGCTAAGAATGGGTTTTACATTTTAGTAATGCTTCAGAAAAAGTCAAGAATAATAAGATTTGGTGACAAATAAAACTATGAAATTCAAATTTCAATGTCAACAAATCAAGTGTAATTATTATTTATTACGTTTCCAACACAGCCACACCCATCTGTTGACTGGCTGCTTGGAGATACAAATTACAACAGCAAAGTTGAGCAACTGAGAGACAGAAACCATGTGGTCATCAAAGTCTAAAAGCTTTACTATCTGGCCTTTCAAAGAAAAGGTTTGCCTACCTATGGTCTATACAAACACTTTGACAGAACTCTGTGATCACACATTTAAAGTTTTAATGAGACCAATGTGCTTGATTGCTGCTGGTTAATTTATATAACAGCCCAAGTTGGACTGACAGTAACACTATCTTCCGGGAATAGTAAATATCTAAACTCTAAATCTAATTTCTTTTGAGTTGGAAAATACATTAATGGTTCCATGCAGATTAGGAACATTAGATTTCCTTACTGAGCTGTGACTCAGCTTATCCCCACTGCCTTTTGCCTCAGCCCATTTTTGTCTGATATGCCTGTAGTTACACTAGCTTTCATTTGGTTAACTTCTGCTAGTAAATCTTTTTCCCAAGCCATCACTTTCAGCCTGTCTATTGTCATTATACTTTGAACCTGTCTCTTAGAGTCTGCACTCAGCTGTAGGGGAGAGCCTAATATCTGCCCTCTGGTATGTGTTCTCTGCCCTTGCAGTAGAAGAACCTCTGTTTTTTGACTGGACACATGGTCACCCAAAACAAAGACTGCATTTCCCAGCATCCTTTGCAGCTAGGTGTACCAGCTGAGGCCTGCCTCACGGGGTCTGAGTGACTCATCTCTTTGCCTCCTTTCCTCTTTGTTCCTGCCTCTGTCCTGCCACCTGGAAAGTAAACAAATGTGGGCCCACCCTAGGAATGGCAGAGCAGCCAGCAAGAACCTGGTGCCTGAAGACCATACAGCTGCATTTCACCTACGACTTTTCCTGTGGGGAAAATTAACTACTATCTACTTTATTGTTGAGTCTCTGTCACTCATGGAGAACACAATCTGATATTGATACTTTTCTTCTGAGACTGAGACTCTCTGACTTTTAACCAAAAAACTTAATCTATTTATATTTATTGTAATTTTTGTGTGTTTTTTTTAAGGATTATTTCTATTTTCTATTTTAATGTTTTCTATGGACTTGTTTTTCTTTGCTTTTTTTCCTCCGTCCCAACCTTCTACTGGCTTAATACGAAGTCTTCACTATCCCCCTTTTTCTCCTCTATTGATTTGACTATTGAACAGAACATCCTATCTCTATTTCTGTTTTATTAATAGGTACCCTTAAAAGGTTAACAAAGTTTAAAGTTAATAAATGAATCTATCCTCTTCTAGGAAAAAAAAATATTTCAGCATGTCTAAAGTATCTCCTCCTAACTTCCATTTTATTTGTTTCTATTATTTTAGTCCATCTGTTTTTAAAATCCTCCAATTTAATTTTTTTACAGTTAATGCTTCTTTAGAACTACCAATATGTTAACTGATTTCTTCCCTCACTATAATTTAGTATATAATCTGCCTTCTTCAACAAGACTACATGAGTGGGAAAACCCTTTCAGCCTTTGTTGAAAAAAGTTTATATTTCACCTTCATTCTTGAATAATGATTGAGCTAGGTATAGACTTCTTGGCTGGTGATCATTTTTCCTCTGAACAATGAACAATTTATTCCATTGTCTTCTGGCTTATATTGCTGCCAATGAAAATTCTTCTGACAGTCTAATTGCTGCTCCTCAATAAGAAATATGACTTTTCTCTCAAGTTGTTTATAAGATTTTCCCTTTGTAGTCTGCAGTTTCACTGGGAAGCATCCACGTATACATTTATTTTTATTTATCCTTCTCTGCCTCCAGTGTGCTCCTTCAGTCTGTGTGCTTGTCTTTGTGGAAGTCTTTATGGGAAAATTCAGCCATCATCTCTTTGAATATTGCCTCATATATTTTTCTCCATATTTTCTCCTTCTGAGACTCCTAAGGACTTTTAACTGCTCTTTAATATTTCCTATTTTTTTAACCCTCTGTGTTACCTTATGGGTGATTTCTCAGATGAAGCTCCCAGTTCACTAATCTTCCTTTCAATGGTGTCTAATCTGTATTTGAATTACCTTTTATTTTTTCCATTCCAGTCATTGTAGCCTTTATTTTTGGAAAGTCTTTGGGTTATTTTAAAAATATTCCTGCTCTATTTTCATACTATCCTGTTACTGCATATGCATCTCTCTTCCGTCTTTTATCTCTTTTTATTTATTTATTTGCATTTACTCTGTGGTCTCTTTTAGATTGTTCTATTATTTACACTTTGGAGGCCAGTTCTCCTGTTTGTCGCATTTGCCTAGTCTCCTTAATGGTGATTTGTTTCTTCATGTGATTGGGATTTTTTGTCATGAGTTCACCTTCAGAAGTAATACAGTTGTTATTTTAATCTCATGTTCCCTGGATTTAAAGAGTGCTCTTCTCAACAGTTTTTTCCTACTTCTTGAGCTTTTCACACCATGAAGAAGCTTTTTACATTCCTGCCTGATATGCAGGACTTGAGCTTCAGGTTCTCTAGGGTAACTTTTTCCACTCAAGGCCCTGAATATCTGTACCCTTGCTACTTCCTCAGGCTGATAGATGTATATTTTGGTCCCCTTTTCAAGAACAGGGTAACCCTTCGAGACCCTGGAATGTACTCAGGGTCATGTCTTACTCCCCAACCTTTTGCAGGTCTTTTGTCACTCCTGGATGTCAGAGCCCAGAACCTCTTCTCCACCTCTGAACCCCCATGGTGTGTACTCCTTTCCACCAACCAGCTTTGAGTTCTCTCTTTGTCTTTGGTACCTGGAGTCCAAATCCCTTTCCTTCAAGCTCAGTTGGGTTTTTTTTTGTATCATTTATACCCATAAGTAGTACGAGGCATCCAGCCACCTTCTTAATTCATGCTGCTACCAGAATCCTCCCAGCACTGCTCTGTCTTTGAATGCAGCCAGCACCAGGGAACTCCCTACCTTCCAAGGGGCTAGAGAGATCTGAATCTTGCATACACCGGGGGATGACAGGCAGTTGAGGGCAGGTTTCTTTCGGGCAACTTAGGGAGGGAGGCAAGGAGTAGGGTGGGTAGGTAACATCACAAGACAACTCTCTGGCCAGGTGTCAGGAACAGAAGAAGCCTGGGGGCTTCTGGGTCGCTTCCATCATGGGGCCCTGATGGTCTGGGCCAGAGAGGCAATGTGTTCTCCCTCCTAGAGCTTCACTGGGCAGAAAGCATCATCACAAACTCTGTGGAAGAGAAGGGGTGGGGCTTGGGCTGGCCCAGGTCAGGGATCTCAGGGTGCTGGGTCAGCCTGGGAGCTGGAGGAGTTGGGAGAGGTTTGTCTGGGAAGGAGACTTACCATCAAAGTCTACAGTGCCATCTCCATTGAGGTCCACCTCTCGGAGCATCTCATCCAGCTCAGAACCCACCAGTGGCTCCCCCAGCAGAGCCGGTGCTGCCTGTCGCAGTTCTGCCACCGTGATTCGTCCATCCCTGTCCCTGTCAAACTAGGATTCGGGCAGAGCTCAGCCCCTCCCACCCAAAGCTGTCTCTGCCTACACCCATCTCCACCTTGCCATGTCCTGTGCCTGGATGCCCCACCTGCACCCTTCCAAACTCTCCCCCTTCTCCCAGGCTGATGGTAAGCCCCCTGCTCCAGGAAGTCTCCCTGGGTGGGTCCTCCAGCTGGTAGTGAGATGAACCCTCTCTGACCCCCCTTTGACCCTAGTCCCACCATCTCCAGACCCCTAGTCTCCCCTGGCCTGGGTGGGAGGCCAGCAAGAATGCCACCCAGCTGCCCACCCGTACCCGCTATGACCGCAGTCCGCACCTCTCGGAAGGCAATGCGCAGCTCCCGCACCCCCAGCATGTGCGCCGTCTCCTCCCTCAGCTTTGGGCCCATCAGTTCCACAAATTCTTCGAAGTCCACGCGGCCACCCACTGCGGACCCGGGCAAAGTGTCACAACAGAGAAGGCTGGGGTCCAAGGAAGGATGTCACAGGGGCCACCCCACCTCAGCTCTGCATCCAGACAGGAATACCCAGCATCCATGCTGTCAGTGGGGGTTTCTTTGCTAGGGGGCAAAGTGTGTGGGTGCTCCCAGTGAAGCACCCAAGTACTGGGGAAAGAGGCCAGGCTTTGGAACCAGACAGCTCCTGGTTCAGACCCTGGCTGTGCCAGTGACTCTGTGTGGCCTTTGGTGAATAACTAAACCTCCTTCCTTACTCTAGGATGGGGATGAGAAAATATACTCGTGAGGTCTATTGGGGTTGTCACCCATGGCTATACTGTGCTGGGACCCTGTGGGTGGCAATAAATCCCCCTGAAGAAGCATTCCCATGGAGTCCCTCAGCTCTAAGATGCCATCAACAATAAAAAGCACCAAAGGTCAAATAAGCTTTGGGAGAAACAAAAGAAGCATGACACTGAATGTTCCATCCGCTGTAATCACACCCTACTAGGGAAACCGTATAGGAAACTGAAGGAAAAATTAATGCAGGCATCCTGAAGTGAAAGGAAGCCGACATTTGACAAATCAGCTAGTGATAATCACACTGATCTGACATTTAATCTCAGGCAGGGCCAGGGTTCTGTCAGGCTAGCCCTCACCAAACCTCAGGAGGTTCTTTTAGCAGCATCAGGAAAGTCAGGGAGAGAGACAGAGACAGACAGGCAGCCCAGAGGCTAGTACCAGAGGGGAGCATGTCAGGGCTCAATCCAAGCCCTGGAGGCCTCTCCTGGGTCACCTGGTACCTTCCTTACCCCTCCCCTACCCCGTCCCTGCATGTGATGGGGCTGATGTCGAATTGTCAAACTGCCATGGAAACTAACCCTCCCAACCCCCCCACCATCACCCCTGCTGTACAAACAGAGCCACCTCCCACCACCCTAGCATCCCCCTGAAACATGAGGCTCAGAGAGAACCAGGGCTGCCCAGCCCCCAGGAAAATCCAGGTGGCTCCCCGGCCCTACCCCCAGGCAGGCAGGAGTCAGGCACTGACTTCGCATCTTGACGTGCTGTGAGACTTCGATGAGCTCCATCTCGGTGGGCATGTAGCCCAGTGTCCGCATGCAGGCCCCCAGCTCCCGGTAGCCAAGGTAGCCATCACGGTCACTGTCAAACTCCTCAAAGGCGGCCTGAAGCTCTGCAGGGGAGGGAGGTCAGGGACAGGACAGGCAGCCAGGCTCAGAGATACTCCCACGTGCCGCCACCACCAGGAGCAAGGCCACTCACCATCCAGCTCCTCGGGGCCCAGCTCACGGTCCTGCAGAAGCACAGTCCAACACGTCCTGGGGCCGCCCGAGGCTATAGCCGTCCTCCCTCCTCCAACCCCAGATCACGCTGGCCTGGGCAGGGCCACCAGGGCAGAAGGTAGCTGAAGTCCCATGGACCCCAGGAGAAGAGGTGACCCCTGCTCCTGGAACCCCAGCTCTCACAGAACGGTGGGCTTGAGGGCTAGCCCTGCCCACTGCCCAGGCTGGCCGAGACCTACCTGTCCCCAGACTGCAGAAGCCCTGCCCCCACAGCCCAGACTTCTTCACCTGGAGCAGAAGCAGCAGGAAGCCTGAGTACCAGGGGCGGGATGGGCTGAGACTGAGGGCACGAGTCCCCTCCCCCGCCCCAGGCTCCCCAACCTTGCCCGGGCCCCACCTGACCTGCCCAAAGATGCGGTCGAGCAGGGGCCCATAAGTCCTCTGAGCAGCGTCATGCTGGGTGGCAGGACGACGCCGGTGGGACTGGCGACGGGCAGCCGGCCCAAGGGCTGCAGGGGCCGCTGCCTCCTGCCCTCCTCTGGTCCTAGAGGGGTTCTTGCTGCTCCTCAGGGCCTCAGGGCCTGGGACGGGGGTCTCCTTTCCAGAGCTGCCAGTGCCCTTCTGGGACCCTCGGAGCCCCTTCTCTCTCTTGCTCCTCCTCCTGGTCAAAGGGAGCCCCTCTGCACCACCTCCAGAAGTCATGAGCCCCTCAGGGGGCTTCTGGGGGTGGGGGGCCAGGTCTGGGTCATGCTGCCCCCTCCCCTGCCCTGAGGCCATGTGGAGAGAGGTGGAGGGACTCAGATATGCAGGGCCAGGGAGCAACCTTGGTTCTCAGGACCCACAAAGCTGCTTATTCACACACCCCCAGCCGAGAACTGATGGTCTGAGGGGGATTAGGGTAAGTGAGGCAGGCAGCCCAGGTCCTAATCCTGACCCTCTGCCTGGGGGTGGCCAGGACAGAGCCAGATAGGTCAAAAGAACTGTCCTCAGCACCAGGGGCCATGATGTGGCCGCTGCAAAGTGAGAACTGCAATGGACTATAGCTCTGCCACTTATAATCTGGGAGACCCAGCAGATTCACTTCTCTGAGCCTCAGTTGTCTCATTAAAATGGGGGCAATATAGCTGAAGAGTCAAGTGCACAGCCCAGTTGTGTGACGTGGGCAGGACTTAGCTTGGAGAGGACAAGAAAGGCATCTCAGGCGGGAGGAAGAGTGTAGGCAGAGGCCGGGAGATGGGAGAGGATAGGCTGTGTTGCCTACTGGAGCCCCGTCATGGGTGACATCTTGTCTGTAGCAGAAGGTGTGTGAAATTGGGGATCAGAGGCCAGATCACAGAGGCCTTGAATGCCAGACTGAGGGGCATGGGGGTGGCATCAGAGGAGGTGGGCCCTGGGGGGTACGAAGCTGATCCTGAGCTGGAGGAGCCCAGGACGAGGGGGTTCCAACCATAGGACCCTGTGAGGAACTGTAGGGGGTGGGGCTGGCGGGTCACTCAGCCCCACTGGGCTGGGGCTAGGGTTTCCCAGAGAGCAGCCCCATGAATGATTGATGTCCTCGCAGCTCTGGTTTCATGCCGGCCGCCTTAGAGTTGCCAGGCGCCACGCAGCAGGCCCCAGCGTGGGGCTGTGTGGATGGCTGGACCACTGGGCAGGCAGGCACGCCCTGCTCCTTCCGGCCAGCAGCCTGAACCTCACAGGTAAGCCAGGCCTCACCCGTCCCTGGGGTTCTGATCCAGTAGGGGCTGGAGCTTGCAGACAGGGGTCTGCTTGAGAAAGAGCTCTGGGGGAGAGGGGGCCACCCAGCTGAAAGCCAAGGGGCCGGAGCCATGGGCCCAGACCGGATCCAGCCTTTCTGGGGCACCTGCTCCCTCCCTTGACTCCACACTGTCACCAGGGCTTTCTCCCCTCCCCGAGGGAAACTCCTTCCTCTAGCCAGCATGGGGAGGCAGGGGCTGGGGCAGCAGGCCCCTTGGGCCCCAGCCACCCTCATCCTCACCACACTGCTGAGAGCCCGTCCTCCTTCCCTGTTTGGGAGCCATAGGGACAAACGGGGGCCACCTTCTGCCTGAGCTGTGAGGATAAGGCAAGGGCCGTGGTGGATCAGGGGTTGATGGGGGGTTTCAAGCCGCTGCCAGGACCCCCCTCCGAGACCAGGTCATCCAGCCCTGTGCTTTGCACTTTAACCTAAGTTCATGAGTGGCACTCATAATGGCGAGGGGCCTCCTCTGCCCCAGAGTCCCTGTCACCTCTTGGACTTCTCTGGGCTAATGGGACCCTGAGCCCTCCCTTCTCGGAATCTTAAACACTTGAACCCCAGAATGCCAGGCCAGAAGCAGTCTGCAGTGATCCAACCAAGTGGTTTTCAAACTGTGTTCCATAGAGCCCTAAGGGTGCTTTCCTTCCATTCTGAGCACCTCCTTTAGTTCATGTAGGAGTTCCTCTATAATATTTTATTTAAATAAAAGATTCACCAGTCTGAAAAATATGTTTGAAATCCTCAGGTTTATTGTACTCAGACACACCGGGATTCCATGTGGCAGAATGATTAGGTCTGAGCTTGCGTCCGGGTGCCCCATCCCCACCACTGACCCTGGGCCAATCACTGATCCTCAGAACTTTCTTCTCCTCACCAATAAAATGGATTGTATGAGGACTAGGTGAGGTAATCTATTCAAAGTCTCTGAAACAGGACCCAAAAGGTGATGGTGGCCCAGAGAGGGACAGTGACTTGCCTGGAGATACACAGCATCCTCTTTCTCCTACTGAGTCATGTGTGCCTTCCTTGACTCACCAGGCACCCACTCTGTGTCCAGTGGTACTGGGGACCTCAAGCAGACACTGCTATGGAAGCCAACCTGGGAGCCGCAGGCCACGGGCCACGCACAAAGCTCGAGGATGAGGAATACTACCCCCAGGGCGGCTGGGACACGGCCTTCCTGGTGGCCCTCGTGCTCCTGGGGCTGCCTGCCAATGGGCTCATGGCATGGCTGGCTGGCTCACAGGCCCGGCAGGGCGCGGGCACGAGGCTTGCCCTTCTTCTGCTCAGCCTGGCCCTCTCTGACTTTCTGTTCCTGGCGGCAGCGGCCTTCCAGATCCTGGAGATCCAGCACGGAGGGCACTGGCCACTGGGGACGGCTGCCTGTCGCTTCTACTACTTCCTGTGGGGCGTGTCCTACTCCTCCGGCCTCTTCCTGCTGGCGGCCCTCAGCCTGGACCGCTGCCTGCTGGCGCTGTGTCCTCGCTGGTACCCTGGGTGCCGCCCAGCCCGCCTGCCCCTCTGGGTCTGCGCCGGGGTCTGGGTGCTGGCCACGCTCTTCAGCGTGCCCTGGCTGGTGTTCCCTGAGGCTGCCGTCTGGTGGTACGGCATGGTCATCTGCCTGGACTTCTGGGACAGTGAGGAGCTTCCACTGCGGATGCTGGAGATTCTTGGGGGCTTCCTGCCTTTCCTCCTGCTGCTTGTCTGCCATGTGCTCACCCAGGCAGCTGCCTGTAGGACCTGCTGCCACCAGCAACCTAGGCCCACAGCCTGCCATGGCTTTCCCCGTGTGGCCAAGACCATATTGTCAGCCTATGTGGTCCTGCGGCTGCCCTACCAGCTGGCACAGCTGCTGTACCTGGCCTTCCTGTGGGACATCTACCCCGGCTACCTGCTCTGGGAAGCCCTGGTCTACTCTGACTATCTGATCCTGCTCAACAGCTGCCTCAGCCCCTTCCTCTGCCTCCTGGCCAGCGCCGACCTCCAGGCCCTGCTGCGTGCCATGCTCTCCTCCTTCGCAGCAGCTCTCTGTGAGGAACAGCCGGGCAGCTACACAGCAGCTGAGCCACAGACCCAAATGGACTCGGGGGGTCAGACTTTGCCAGGGCTGATGGCTGAGGCCCAGCCACAGGCAAACCCCATGGTCCAGTCACAGGTGGACCCCATGACCCAGCCACAGACATATTTTGTGGCGCAGCCACGGATGCAGTCACAGTTGGATTCTGTGGCCCTGTCACAAGTGGACCCTGTGACCCAGCCACAGTCAGATTCTGTGACCCAGCCACAGGTGGATCCTGTGACCCAGCCACAGTCAGATTTTGTGGCCCAGCCCCAGATGCAGCCACAGTTGGATTCTGTGACTCTGTCACAGGTGGACCCCGTAGCCCAGCCACAGTTAGAGTCTGTGGCCCCACCTCAGCTGAATGCCACAGCTCAGCCACAGGTGAACCAGGAGACCCAGCCCCAGGTGGACTTTGTGGCCCAGTCACAGGCCAAGCCTGAGGTACAGACCCCTGCCCTCACTGCCAGGTCAGCCCACGGCCCCTGTGATGAAGCCTCTGCCCCATCTACAGATCTCACCCCCGAGGCCCCTGACAACCTGGCTACGCCTGCTGCTTCTGAGGGGAAAAGCCCCTGCAGGGGTTTCTCTGTGGAGGCCCCTGGGGCAGGGGCAGGCTCCACATGAGGGTCCAGGAAAGCCAAGCCCACAGGGCAGCGGAAGAGCCAGAGGGAGACGGAGGAGCCAGTCGGGCAGGGGGCAGGGGGCTGTGGAGGAAGTCATCATGGAGAACCCCAGCCCAGTCCCTTGGGCCTGGCAGGAGGGCTTGGGGGAAGTGAAAATGAAACGGCCGAAAGTCCCAGATGGTTTGCTGTGAGCATTACACCCCCTCCTGAGGCCCACGAAGCCCGTCCATGCTGCCCCCTTACACAGCGGCCCCGGTGGATGGTGTCCTGGTCGGCTCTGCCCCCCAACTCCCAGTCCCCACTGACGGCTCCCCCTAGCCACAGTCCTGCAGGAGAAAGGCAGCAGGGGCGACCCCCAGGCTGGGTCAGACCTCCTGATCACTCCCTTCCTGCGCACCTCCCTGTCCAAGTCCTCCAGCCCAGGAACGCGGAGCCCCAAGGAGGAAATCCTGCAGAGAAGGGAGGCGTTCAGGAGCTGAGGGGAGCCCAGCGCCCTTGGAGCCCACGAGCTGGCCCGGCCTGGCCAAGCCCTCTCCACCGGCCCTCACCCCACAGTGGGCAGCGGGGCTGGGGCAGGACTTCCCTCAGCAAGACAGCGGGGGCAGAGGCGAGGGCTACCGAGCCTGGACGCAGACTGGCTCTGGGTGACCGTGGACAAGCGGCTTCACCCACTGAGCTTCTGCTTCATCTGCCGTTGGAGAATTAGAAGAAAAAGTGTGTTAGATGCCCAGCAAGAGCCTGGCACGATGAGGGCTTGACGAACAGCACTCCTCCTTCACGGGCATCCAGGGATGTTGCCACAGGGGCTGGAGGCGCCACCTAAGCATCCGGGACCCTGTGAGCTTCAGGGCAGCCCCACTGTGTCTGTGACCGGTTCCGGCCTGGAGACACCCAGGTGGCCCAAGAGAGCACACGCTGCCTCTGCCTCGGGCAGCTCCAGGCGACTCCAGGGTCTTCTCCATTTAAGGGTTCAGCTAGTGGCCGCCTAACCCCTCCACCATGGTGGGGGCTGCAGGTGCAGGGCGTCCTGGTCCTGCCTTCCTAATCTAAGCCTCTCCCATGCGCTCTGCACGGGTGCATAGGTGGAGGAGGTCCAAGCAAAGAGCTCTGGGACCAGTGGCTCCAGGAAGGGCACAGACCTCATGTAGGGCACATAGTATCTCTCGGGCAGAGCCATCCTCTCCCCTCACAAGCTGCAGACACTACAAGAAATCTAGAAAGTGCTGAAGGTCTATTTTCTGACTCCCACCCCACTTCCCTCTCTCACCCTTCACTCTCTTCTGCCCTCACCCAACCCCCAGCTCTCTCTCAATGCCCAGTGTTCCTTTATCATGAGGCTTTTCCCCTTTTCACCCCATTTCATCCCCTTTTCCCATTAGCTCAGCAGTGGGACCTGCAGAAGCTCAGAGATGCCCTTACCAGTAGGTGTAAATGACAATGACATTTTACTGCGACCCATCCTAGGGGTGCTTGCATTTTTAAAAGGCAGCAGGCTGTGCAGGCATTCTGGGGTGGTGCAGTCAGATCTGGGTTCCGGTTTCTAACTCTCTCTTTGCCTTAATTTTCCCCTTTGTAATATGGGGTGATAATGTTCCCCTTGCAAGTTTGGCGGCTGTGATTATTAAGTGAGCCAGGGATGGCAGCTCGCTGGTGGTGGTGATATTAGCAGCCTAATCATAGCATTTCCTAGGGATGTGAGATCACAGCTCTGATGCTGGTGGGGGAGAGATTTCTGGACAGTCACAAATGCGTCAAATCCACTCATTCAGCAGATGTTTATTGAGCATTGCTAGATGTCTTTCCAGCCAGTCTTCCATTTTGGGAGACACACGGGTGGGGGTAGCAGCATGGCCTCTGGTGCCCCTCAGGGGTTGTTTGAATCCTGGCTCCACCATTCACCAGCTGTGTGATCTTCAGTCCCTTCCTTGGGACTCGATTTCCTCATCTGAAAATGGGGATCATAGTAATGGTTCCTGTCTCTGGGAGCATTAAGCTTTATGAAGTGCTTGGATCCTTGCCTGGCACAAAGTAGTGCTTAATAATTGTTAGCCACTAATTTGATCACAGCCGTAGGCACACCCAAGCCTCACTGACAAGCCTCTGCATGGCAGCATGTGCCCACAAGGTACTGTCCCCTCCACCGCATTGTCTCCTCCTTCATGAGAAGGGCTGACCTGCTCCCCCCCCCTTTGGAGTACCACTCCCCAAGGACAGGGCGTGGACTTCTGACCCCTCAGGGTACTCTGCATCGCCCTTCTCCCTTCTCCAAGGTAGAGGTTCCAAAGCCTTTCCAGCCTAACAGGCAAATCAGGGACTGAAAGCTCAGTGCCAGCCCCCGCCGGCCTGCAGCTCTGGTCCATGCTCCAAGCCCTGAGTGTTGGAGACTGGGCCAGCCCCACCCCCAAGATCTTCGAGCGGAGTCCTCCCTGTAATGGGTAACTGCTATGCGAGAGAAAGAGCGGTGCCATGGAGGGTTTTGTGGAATAAAGAGTAGCTCTCCTGGTGGCCCACAGAGAAGGGTCTCACACTGGAGGGAACATGCACACCCAAGGCCAGAGGGGATGGAGGGAGGGCTCAGCCCTGGCGCTCCACAGCCCCTCTGTTCATCTCAACACACGCATGGGGCTGGGCTCCCATGGCCCTCTGGGAGGCTCACCCCTTCTCCAGAGGAGAGACACCCCACCCTCTCCCTCATAGGGACCACATGTGGATTCTGAGAGGTGTGAATAAGAACATTTTTCAATTCTACATTCAGGGCTGCTGTTCATTCATTCATTCATTCAGTGTACATTAATCCCATGCCAGCCGTGTGTCAGGTCTTGTTCTGGGTTCTGGGGATAGGTAGGAAAGAAGGCCAAGTGCTGTCCTGCAGCTGACATTCTGGTGGGGTGAGGCAGACAAAGCCAACATATATGATCATATAATACAGCACCAGGTCAGAATGAAGAAGGAAACAGGAGCGAGTGACAGGGGTTGGTCAGAGAGGGCCTACGGAGGAGGTGACATCTGACCAGAGAACAGGAGGAAGTGAAGGATGGAGCCTTTTCAAGATTTGGGGGCAGATTTCTAGATGGAGGGAATAGGATGTACCAAGCCCTTAAGGTGGGAAGGAAGGTAGGGGGTTTCAGGGACGGGGGGGTTCAGTGTCACTGGGCCACAGGGAGGGAGAGAACACAAGTAGGTAATGTGAGGGGGGCGGGGGTCAATGACTGTGGATGTTTTTTCAAGTGTGGCGATGACGAGGAAAGGGAGTGTTTAGGGTAGGGGATCTGGTTTGGGCTTTAGACAGACTCCCGGCTGTTGCCTGGGGGACACAGTGGAGAGGGAGGTTTAATGGCTACATTCCGTCTTCTGAGCCACCCACATTCTTGTCCTGAGCTGGAAGGATTTGTTTTCGGGCAGCTGTGTCTGGGGAGGTCTCTCCCTGTGCACTAGGTGAAACCTCAGCCTGGTTGGGGGGAGGCATTCTCTTGACTGTGAACGAGAAAATTCTCGAGCAGGTTGAGCAAGTGTAGGTAAGGAAGGAATTCATTAACGCCAGAGTGGTAGCAGCAGCTGTGCAGGCAGCAGAGAGCAAGGAAGAGCAGAGGGAGGAAAGGGAAGCTTCCTGAGCTCCTGCTCAGCACAGGGCGGATCCCTTGCCAACCCCTGAAGCCATGGTCACCTGGTGTCCAGTGTCTGCTTGGATCTGCATGGCATGGGAACTAAGTCCCCATCACCCCAGGATTTGGGGGAGCCACAGAGCACTGGATGGAGTGAGATCATGTTCTGAGAATTCCCAAAGCAAAGAAAGGAGATTTTTGGGCAGGCTGATAAAGAGCATGATCACACAGCTGCAGTCCTGTCCAGGTCACCCAGGCGATGGGAACTTGCAACTCCAAGTCAGAGATCCCAGTAGCACTTCCCTACTTGTCTGAACTAGAACAGAGAGAGAGAGAAAACTTGTGCTTAAATCTAGAAGAGTGAATTAAATAGTAAAGTAACAAAGACGCTTACCACTGGAAGAGTACAGAGACAAAACGCAGTAGTTGGGCAGAGAAAAGTCTTTATTTAAGGCAAAAAGTATGCACTTGAAGAAAGGGGAGTATACACTGATGACAGTGACTGTAATGGGGTATGTGGTGGGGACTTGATGATGGGGGGAATCTAGTAACCACAATTGCTCATGTAATTGTATATTAATGATACCAAAAAAAAAAAAAGAAGGGTGTATGGGCAACCTCAGAGGGGAGGTGCACTTAATTAAGGGCTTAGGATTCTGTCTTCTAAGGCTTTTGAGGAGGGAGCAAAGGGTAGCGGGTGGTAGCGTAGGCTTGACATGTGGTCTCAGGATATCCATCTCCAGTGAGACATCATGTCACCATTCACAGTCAGTCCTTAAGATAATTCTATAAGATAAACCTAACACAAGGAATTTATTGATCCTCTTCTCCAAGATAGTGATCACCCCATGCAGTGGGAACAAATCATTTAGGACTGCTCACCCTGCCTTAAGACAGGGTCAGTTGTTGTCTGACTACCATAAAATACTTTAGGAATCTCATTTCTTAACTCTCTGGTTTTTAAAATGGAATCTTAGCCTCAAGATAGAGTCCCTCCTGTTCTTACTATACTGTTTGTATCTTGGCATTTTTCATCATAGGCAGGAAAAATTAATCATGATGCTTATCTCATGTCCCTGTCCTACCTCGGATTGGCTGCCTCAGTTTATGGAGCTGTGGGAAAAGCAAGAAATTTGGAGCCAAACAGATGTGGAGTGAATCCCAGTGGGGAGATGGGGGGTAGGCACCTCTCTTCTCTGAGCAGTTTCCCCGACAGGGAGTGGTAAGGGGGTGAGTTGGGTACAAGCCCCAGCCCATGGGGAGCACACAGTGGAGTCTCACATAGCCCAAGACAAGATTCCTTTTTGCTTCTGCTCTTCTCTCCTCTGCCCCCTCCACCCATCTCTTTCTGGGAAAGGACCTGCCCATCACCCGTTGGTTGGTTACACAGGCAGTAGATGCTCAAGGAATGCATGAGGGAAGTGGCCAATATCGCAGGATGTGGGGAGGCCAGTCTGGGCTTCAGTTACAGGAGCTGGCTACGAGGGAGACATCCGTGGCCAGACTTCCAGGCCTCTGTGAGAGATGGATAAGGAAAGAGAGGAAGGTGTGAGGGATCTGGGGGGCATGGCCCCACTTCTATTCAATGAGGCCTTGAGGGACCCAGGAGTGTTCATGAGGAAGAATGGGATGGCTGGGGCCTTCCACTTGCCCTTAAAACACCGGTGTTTCATTTACACTGTTCACCAAAAGCATGTACTTTGTAACTTCTTAAAAAGAGGCGCATGAATATGCGGGTGTCGGAGTAGATGCTGTATTTTGGAGTAGGGGTTGGACTGGGAGACCTGGAAGTACGCGTCGGGGTGGGGGCTCCACCCAATCCTGGCGACTCCTGAGGACGCAGCCCCTGGGAGCAGCATTAGGAAACAGCCCGGCACCTACAGCCTTGCGGCCTCAGTCACCCACCCACCCATGCCCTAGGCCTCTTCGCCCTATAAGAACCCCAAGGCCAGAGGGGCGGATCCCGCAGAGGCCCCGCCCCCCGCGCGTGACCTCGGCCCCGCCCCCGCGCGCCCCCGCCCCGCCCTTGCCCCCAGCTCCTCGCTCCTCGGTCACTTCCTGGTTGCCGTTTCCTGCTTCCCAGAGGCCGGGATCCGGAGCCGCCTGAAGCCGGTGCTGCAGCCCCTGGCGCCCCAGACTAGCGCGGCGGGCCGGAGCTGGGGGCGGGCGGGGACCGGGCGGGGCTGCGGGGGCGGAGCCGCGGGGGGCTGCGACGCGGGTCGGGGGTAGCGAGTACGAGGAGACCTTCCCCTCCGTGGCGCCCCACTCTCGGTCCCAA